ATGGACACTATTGAAGCAGACAAGTTCGCAATGACCAAACGAGACGACTCCCAAGCAGGTATAACGCCCACAGCTTGCAGAACAAAAAACTTTGACTTCGACTATGTTTACACTGTAACTCTGCCGTCAAGCATCTGACATGCATACAGTTGAGGCAGATACGATGGCAGTAACCGTACGAGACGACTCTGAAGAGTATATAACGAGTTCAATGGGCAAATAAAGTAACATCAACTTCATCGGTGAGCACACTCTATATCTTCATCCTATCATTTCACATGGATACTATTGGAGCAAACGAGTTCGTAATGCCCATATGAGACGACTTTCAAGAGGGTATAACGCACACAGTTTGCAGAACAAAAAACTTCGACTTTGACTTTGTTTACACTGTAACTTTGTATTCTTGAATCTGACATGCATACAGTTGATGCAGATACGATTGCAGTGACCGTATAATACAACTCTGGAGGGTATATAGCGAGTACAACAGGCAAATGGGGATACATCGACTCCATCGTCGTACACACTATATCTCTCTATCCTATCATCTCACATGGACACTATTGAAGCAGACAAGCTCGCATCGACCATATAAGACGACTTTCGAGCGGGTATAACGCACACAGCTTGCAGAACAAGGAACATCGACTTCGACTATGTTTACATTGTAACTCTGCAGTCTAGCATCTGACATGCATACAGTTGGAGCAGATATGATCGTAGTGACCATATAAGATGACTTTTGAGTGTATATAGCAAGTAAAATAGGCAGTTGAAGGTGCATCGACCCCATCGGTGTGCACACTCTATCTCTTTATCCTATCATCTCACATTGATACTATTGAAGCAGACGAGTTCGCAATGCCCATAAAAGACGACTTCTAAGCGGGTACATCGCAAACAGGTTGCAGAGCAAGAAACTTTGACTTCGACTTTGTTCACACTGTTACTCTGCCGTCTAGCATCTAACATGCATACAGTTGAAGCAGATACGATATCAGTGACCATATAAGACGAGTCCTGAGCCGGTATAAAGCACACAGCTCGCAGAATAAGAAACATCGACTTCGACTATGTTTACATTGTAACATTGCAGTCTAGCATCTGACATGCATACAGTTGAAGCAGATATGATCGTAGTGACCAAATAAGATGACTTTTGAGTGTATATAGCAAGATAGATAGATAGATTACACTATGTGGGCGGACGGATCCTTCAGCATGTAGGCCTCCTAGTTCGGGCTCGTTATGCACCCACCTCTGCTGGGAATTGTTTCAGTCATGAAGGTAGCCAATTTCGCGGGCGAAAGAGACCAGCCTTCTCAACGAAACCCTTCTCACACTCTCTGGTTCCGAAACGATGTTCCCGAGATGTGCTTCCCGTATTGCTGCAACTGCTGGGCATTCCGTGAGGATGTGAGTAGCTGACTCCTTGTCCTCCAGGCACCACCTACATTCAGCATCATCAGTGATACCCATAATGTTGAGGTGCCTGTTAAGATGGCAGTGACCCGTGAGGAGCCCTACCACTATTCTTATTTCTTTTCTGCTCAATGTGAGCAACGTTTTGGTTCTTCTGATAGAAGGGCCTTCGATATGGAGTTTCGATTGTCTCATGCCTGGAGACTCTCTCCATACCTCCTGGAATTTCGTTTCCAAGCTTTTCATCATGGTTGAGACGCTCCAGAATCTGGAAACTCCTAAGATTGGTTTTGGTCCAATGGCTGAGCTATTTGCTCCTTGTCTAGCCAGGGAGTCGGCCCTTTCATTACCGGGAATTCCCTTGTGTCCTGGGACCCAAAGAAGTTTCACCTTATTGGCTGCGGATAGCCTTTGAAGCTCGTCAATACACTCCGACACCAACAGCGAACTGACCCTGTATGATGTGAGGGCCTTGATCGCCGCCTGGCTGTCGGAGCATATCGTGATCAGCTGGCCATGGTAGCCTCTGTTGATATTTTCTCTAACACAGGCGAGAATGGCAAAAACCTCTGCCTGAAACACTGTAGCAAAGTTCCCCAGGGCGTAACTGAGTTCCGCTTTCGGAGATTGCCCATATACCCCAGCTCCTGCCGATCCCTCCATCCTGGAGCCATCTGTGTACCAAATGATTCCAGTGGTAGGGATCAGGCGGTGCACGAACTGCTCCCAGTCCTCCCTTTTCGAGATAATTGACTGAGGCCTTTTGCTGAATCTAATGACAGGAGTGAAACTGTCCCCCGGCATCTCTAGGAGGGGGCATTCCTTTACCGTCCGATTCCATAGTCTAGAGTGTCCATACGTTCCCTCGCTCCTCCATTGGTTGGAGCTCCGCAGACGGGCGATGGCTTTGCATGCCTCGTGTTCAATGAAGAGGTACAGGGGTGGCAGACCTATAAGTGTCTCCAGTGCCCTTGTGGGTGCTGTCTTCATTGCACTCGTTATGGCAAGGCAGGCAAGTCGTTGCACTCTGTCTAGTTGAGTTTTTGACTTGCCGGATGCTGTACCTTGCTACCATACGATGGCTCCGTACGTAATCATTGGACGTGTAGATCCAGTAGATAATCTTGGGACTGGGCCCCCACGTGCTTCCAAACGCTCTTCTGCATGCCCAGAACGCGGCCATGCTTTTCTGAACTTTATGTTCGATATGTTCGTTCCAGTTCAGCTTGGAGTCTAAAATGACCCCAAGGTACTTGACTGAACCTTTGTATTGCAGAGACCTGCCAGAAAGTTGGACGTTTGGGAGGTTCCCTTTTATGCGTCTCCTAGTGAAGAGAACTAGTTCTGCTTTTCCAGGGTTCACGCTCAGCCCGACTGAACGGCACCATACATCCACCCCGTCAAGTGCCCTTTGTATCGTACCTCTCACGAGGCCCGACCCCTGGTCGTCTACCAGGATGACTATATCGTCCGCGTAGGCCTGAGTGTAGTACCCCAAATCTTTTATTTTTGATAGGAGACCATCCACTACTAGGCACCATAACAGAGGCGACAGAACTCCCCCCTGTGGGCAGCCCTTCTTTGGCGTGACCTCGCTAGAGCTACTTTTGAGAGTTGCTTTAGCTAATCTCTGGGAAAGCATGGCGTGGATCCACCCTATTATGGATGGAGCCACGCCCCTTTCCCTTGTTGCCTGACATATGCACTATGCAGTCAAATGACGTGTTGTCGAATGCTCCTTCTATGTCGATGAATATGCCTAGAGTGGCACTGCCACGGTCCAACCCGCCCTCGAGTCTGTGGACCAGACGGTGGAGAGCTGTCTCCGTGCTTCTACCAGTTTGGTAGGCGTGCTGGAGGTTTCTGAGTGGATATAAGGTCAGTATATCCTCTCTGATGTATCTGTCCACCAGTCTTTCTGTGGTCTTGAGAAGAAAAGACGTAAGACTGATGGCCCTAAAAGACTTTGCCTGGGTGTAATCACTTTTTCCAGGCTTGGGAATGAAGATAACCTTGGCTGTCCTCCATGCTTTGGGAACGTATCCGTAGGCGAGGCAGCTTCGAAAAATCTTCAGTAAATGGGGGATCAGGATACCTTCGCCCTATTGTAGCAGGGCTGGAAATATCCTGTCTTCTCCCGGAGATTTGAAAAGTGAAAAGGACTCAATGGCCCATTTCACTTTATCGTAAGTAACAATGCCAGCAGCCACTTTGTAGTCGACCTTTCTCGTGAGAGAGAGGGAGAGAGGTGGAGTTGGCTGTGGTCCGGGTGTCGCAGTGTCGCTACCCGGAAAGTGGACTGAGAGCATGTATTGGAGTTTTTCTTCGTCCGAGGCAGTAAATCCGCCTCCGGGCAGTGACAGCACCTTCAATCTTGCTCCCGGATCTTTGGATAGGGCCTTGTTGAGTCTTGCTGCCTCTGGTAAGGTGTTTACACCTTGGCAGTAGTTCCTCCAAGTGTCCCTCCGTGCGTCTCGGATACACTTTTTGTATTCCCTTTGTGCTGACTTATAGTCCTCCCAATGTGTTGGTTGTTTGGTCCGTGTGGCCCTATTCAGACGTTTGCGGACTTCCTTGCGGTGAGCCTCTATTTGTGAGCTCTACCATGGGGTTTTGCCTGCCTTGTCAACCTTTTTCAAGGGACAGCTGGCTTCATATGATGTGAGGATGGCAGAATTGAGACAGTCGGCAAACGTCTCAATTTCCCCCTCAGATTCGTAACGTGTAGGCATAATACCAAGCCTCTCCTTCAGTTCCTCCACGTAGAGGTTCCATCGGGTAGCTCTGGGATTCCTATACCTGCAGCTCTCTGCATGGCTGTTGCCTGCTATTTTTAATAGTATGTGTCGGTGGTCCGCTAGGGTTTCCTCCGTTGACACATGCCAGCCGCTGACGCTCCCTGTTAGTTCTGATGAACATAGTGTGAGATCGACAATTGTTTGTGCCAGAGGCGTGAAGTAGGTGGGCACTGATCCTCTGTTGAGGATTTCCAGTTTACTGGAACTCAGGAATTCGAGAAGCGCCAAACCCCTTGGGTTCACGTCGCGGTTTTCCCACAGTGTGTGATGGGAGTTGGCGTCGCAACCCAACAGGAGGGGCAATCCTTGCTCCTCGCAGTGCTCTATCAGTGTAATAACCTTTTGTGGAGGATTCTCCTCTTCATATGGGAAGTAAGCGGAACCTACAATGACTTCGCGTGTATTACTCCCTGTTTCGTCGACCAACTTCACCTTCACCGCTACCAGGTCTCTGTGACGAAAGCCCGGCAGCGGAGTGGCGTCGACACCTTTTGTATGAATACATGCTCTGGGTCTTGCTCCGGAGGGACAATAGTAGAGTGAACCTCCAGCTTGACCCATACCTCTTATCTTACTTCCGTAGGCCCACGGCTCTTGGATAAGACATATATTTATATCGAGTTCCCTGAGCCTTCTGCATAGAAGGGCTGTAGAGGCCCTCCCGTGCTGTATATTGGCTTGCAGAAGTCTCAGGGGCTCAGAGGAGCATGAAGGAGAGACCGCCATTTGGTAGCCTAGTCTTCCTGCCCCTCTTCTTGTCCAGGGCTACCAGGACACGCGTTCTGGGCGCCACCTTCCTGACCGGACTCTGCCAGAGGACTGTTGACGTTGTCCTCTGTCAAAGTCTCGTCGTCGAGTTCGATGAGGGTTTCCTCATCTGCATGAGACGGCTCCGCAGGGGGTTGTCTGTCGACGTCTGCGGGTGTCTTTTCGTCGACGGAGACTGTCTCCATCGGCTGGTCTTTGGGACCCTCAGCTGGGAGGTCTGTCGCAGAAGACGAAGGGGCGTCCCAGCTGACCAGTGCCTTGGTGGCACCGAAAAACAAGGCTCCGTTGGCCCGCCTGGCAGTGGCGATCGATACTAGCAAGTAAAATAGGCAGTTGAAGGTGCATCGACTCCATCGGTGTGCACACTCTATCTCTCTATCCTATCATCTCACATTGATACTATTGAAGCAGACGACTTCGCAATGCCCATATAAGACGAGTTCTAAGTGGGTACATCGCACACAGCTTGCAGAACAGAAAACTTCGACTCTGACTATGTTAACACTGTAACTCTGCAGTCTCGAATCTGACATGCATACAGTTGAAGCAGATACGATAGGATTGACCGTATAAGACGACTCTGAAGGTTATATAACGAGAACAATAGGCAAATGAAGATACATCGTTCTCATCGTCGTGCACACTATATCTCTTTATCCTTTCATCTCACATAGACACTATTGAAGCAGACAAGCTCGCATCGACCATATTAGACGACTTCCAAGCGGGTTCAACGTACACAGCTTGCAGAACAAGAAACATCGACTTTGACTATGTTTACATTGTGACTCTGCAGTCTAGCATCTGACATGCATACAGTTGAAGCAGATATGATCGCAGTGACCATATAAGACAACTTTGAAGTGTATATAGCGAGTACAATAGGCAGATGAAGATACATCGACTTCATCGGTGTGTCACTCTCTATCCTATCATCTCACATGGATTCTATTGAAGCAGACGAGTTTGCAATGCCCATATGAGACGACTCCCAAGCGGATATAACGCACACAACTTGCACAACGAGGAACTTTGACTTCGACTTTGTTGACACTGTGACTCTGCCGTCTAGCATCTAACATGGATACCCCAGGAAACAAGCTGACGTCATTTGTACGTCATTATATGGTCATTTATGGTCATTGACGTCATATGACCTCAAAATGACGTCATTTTGACGTACTTAATATGACGTTATATAGACGTCCTTGATATGTCGTCATTATGACGTCATCTGATGGTCATTTTCATGACTAATTATGACCATCATTAATTGAGTCATCTACATCAAGGAAAATCCATAATCAAGAAATTTCCCATCTCTGTTATATGAAAACGTCAGTAGTTATGTTATATAACATATATTATTATGTCACTCATCATATATTATGCTTCATAATAATTTTTACTCTAATCTGTGCGAGATGTGTGTTTTCGACGGTCTCTGAGATAATTAATTGTTAATTATATACCTTCTGTGCAAAGTATTCTCCCTATAGCTATTGAAAATATAAGACCGAATGGCACGTCATAAAAAGCTTATAACGTTGTTATTCCGGAATGCGAATTCAAATCAGAGCGGGAGAGTGCGTAGAGAACTGTATTTGATTGGTCGGCACGGACCTTGCGCAGACATGCGAACGTCGACCGCCAGCGCCAACCCACAGCCGTATTCAGAAGACGGCTGTGGCCAAGCCGTTCACTTTCGTTTCGCTTCGCCGTTGCGGCCATGATAACCATAACAACAAAATAACAATACATAGAAGGCCATCATTATCATGTTATTCGACTATCTATGTGGTGTGGTGTGGTGGTCATACTTATTCATATTCATATATCAAGTAGTAGAATTTGAGGATGGCAGCATGGTCATTATTTTAGACAAGTGGTGTATGCCGAGAAAGCAGAATGTGGATTGGACGCCATTGAAGGAATACCATAGGGTTCTGAGAAATCTCTTGAGTGCATCATCCGAATGGGATAAGTTCCCAATAAAAAGAACATTTTATGAAACTGGTATTTATAGTACCTACCTATAATATTATTCTGCATTTAATGTGGTAAAGAAACATCAATATAATTATGCAAAAAAAATCTCATCCTTTCTGATAATATTGATACAACCCTAATGCAACAGTGTTTTTTTTCACCTACAGAAAATTTCGAAATAGCACAAAATAAACTGAAACATGCAGAAGATTTCAGTGATATAAATAATCGTAAAGATCACGTCATTTTGACGTCATTAGGATGTCGTCATTAGGATGACGTCATTTTGACGTCATGAAAATGACGTCATTCGTCTTTGACTTAGAAGGTCATATAAACGTCATTATGACGTCATTTCGGAAGTCATCCTGACGTCAGGCCTGACGTGATAATGACGTACAAATGACGTCAGCTTGTTACCTGGGACAGTTGGAGCATATACCATTGCAGTGACCGTTTAAGACGACTTTGAAGGGTATATAACGAGTACAATAGGCGAACCAAGATACATTGACTCCATCGTTTTGCACACTATATCTCTCTATCCTATCATCTTACATTGACACTATTGAAGAAGACCAGTTTGCATTGACCATATAAGACGTCTTTCAAGCGGGTATAACGCACACAATTTACACAACTAGGAACTTCGACTTCGACTTGTTTCACACTGTTACTCTGCCGTCTACCATTTAACATGCATACAATTGGAACAGATACGATATCAGTGACCATATAAGAACAGTTTTAAGCGGGTATAACGCACAAAGCTTGCAGAACAAGAAACTTCGTCTTTGACTATGTTCACACTGTAACTCTGCAGTCTTGAATCTGACATGCATACAGTTGAAGCAGATACCATTGCAGTGACCGTATAAGACGACTTTGAAGGGTATATAACGAGTACAATAGGCGAACCAAGATACATCGACTTCATCGTTTTGCACAATTGATATCAATAATGACAAGAAACTATATTTTATTGACTGCTGAATCTATCAACATGACATATCAGCAAACGTTAAAACTATACAGAGTATGATATATGTAAGTTCACCACATTACTCTCCCCCTAGTGTCAACGGCTAACTGAAATGTAACATTTTTCTTAAGCTTGATAGGCTCTTGTAGCTTGTCCTTCATAACTTCAGAAATATCTACCTCTTCTATGCGAGGTTCCAAGTATGCAGGTTTCAATCGATCAATGGATATCCACTTATCCTTTCCATTGATTCTCAATTTGAAAACTTCATTTCGTTTCTCCAATACTCCATATGGGCCATTGTATGGAGCTTCCAGTGATTTTTCGATAGCATCCACTTTAACGAAAACATGGGTAGAATGAAATGAGTCTTTATGAATAAAACTATTATCAACAGTATGATTTGATCCCTCTACTGGTCGAAGTTCATCCATCGTCTCTCGAAGATTCACCAAATAGTCATTGGAACTCTGAGGTACACTGGATTTTGGATCTACAAATAATTGTCCTGGAATCCTCAAAGTAGTCCCATTAACTAATTCTGAGCATGTTGCTCTGATGTCCTCTTTGAATGCAGTTCTTATTCCTAATAAAATTGTTGGGAGAGCCTCTGTCCATTTTTCATTGCTATGACATCGTATTGAAGCTTTAAGGTTCCTGTGCATATGTTCTACCATACCATTTGCTGAAGGATGATAGGGGCTGGTATGGATATGTTCAATTCCAAGTAGTCTTGTGAGCTCCTGAAATAATGAAGACTCGAACTGTCTTCCTTGGTCAGAAGTCACTCTTGCTGGAACTCCAAACCGTGATATCCATCCTGAATAAAATGCTTTTGCTACTGTTTTTGCAGTCATGTCTGGTAAGGGAATAACTTCAGGCCATCTCGTAAACCTATCTATGCATGTCAAACAGTAAATGAAACCGTTGGATGGTGATAAAGGGCCTATGAGATCGATATGGATGTGATCGAAACGGAGTGATGGTAAATCAAATTTTCCTATAGAACTTCTGCAATGTCTTGAAATCTTATTCTTCTGACATGATAAACACTGACGAGTCCAATTGCTGATATCATTTCCCATTCTCGGCCAAACATATCTACTCTTGATCAGACGAACAGTAGCCTTTACACCAGGATGAGATAAACCATGCATTTGTTTGGAAATTTCTTTTCTGAATACTTCGGGAACAAATGGTCGGCTCTTATTGGACGATGTATCGCAAAATATTTCATAATTTGACTCACCTAATTAAGTATGTTTTTTAAGTCTCAAGGAAGTTGTACCTGAGAGTAGTTGTTTCAATTGCTCATCACTTTTTTGTGCCTCTTGAGAATCTTTTTCACTGAATGAATTTGAAATGTGTATAGACTCAACTCTGGATAACGTATCTGCTACACAATTGTTTTCACCTTCTAGATACCGGATGTCAGTAATGAACTGACTGATGAAATCCAAATATCTGAATTGTCTCGGAGAAAGTTTATCAGATTGTTTGAGAAAAGAGTAGGTTAATGGTTTATGATCAGAGTATATGAAGAAATCTCTGCCCTCCAACATATATCTGAAGTGTTTTATAGCTTCATACACTGCCAAAAGTTCTCTATCATATGAACTGTATTTCCTTTGTGCGACAGATAACTTTTTTGAGAAAAAACCCAAGGGCTTCCACGAGCTGTCCTGCAATTGTTGAACAGAAGCTCCTAAGCCAAAATCGAAAGCATCAACCATGAGGCAGATTGATTGACTAACCACTGGATGAACCAACAGAGTAGCCTCTGCTAGAGCAGTTTTTAAATTCTCGAAGTCATTAATTTGTTCCCGAGTCCAAAGAAGTTTGTCATTTCCTTTCGGATTGCCTTTTAGGAACTCATTGAGAGATGCTTGTAATTGTGCTGCATGTGGTATTGAAGATCTATAAAAGTTGATCATTCCAAGAAATCGCCTCAAACCTTTGACATTTGTTGGCAATTTGAATTCTTTAATGGTCTCAACTTTTGTATTAGATGGCTTGATACCCTCTGATGTAATAACATGTCCCAAAAACTGAATTTCTTCAACACCGAATTCACATTTTTCTGGGTTTATGCTAATTCCAGCAGATTCTAATTTGGAGAAAATGATCTGTAGATGCTTTTTATGTTCCTCTTCATTTTCGGAACTAATCAAAAAATCATCTATATAAGGAAAACAGAATGGCGTATCATTTACAACTTGATTAATAAATCTCTGGCAGGTTTGAGCAGTATTTCTAAGACCGAAAGGCATCTTTAAAAATTCATATAATCCAAAAGGTGTTATTACGGCTGTCTCCTCAATATCCTTAGTAGCAACAGGAATCTGATGAAAAGCTCGCACTAAGTCTATCTTAGAAAAAAATTTTTTACCGGATAAATTAGATGAAAAATCTTT